CCCCGCGCCTCTCCGCCCGGGCCCACGCCCCTCTCCCCGGCCCCCCGTGCCTCACCCTTTCATCTTCCCCTCCGGTTGAGGCCGTCGTTAGCACCGCTCTCCACGCCGTCGTCCGCGTCGCCCCGAGCTCTCCGCGCCCTCACCTCGGGCCACTCAACCCCACCAGCCGGCCTCCTCGCCTAAGGAAAGGGAGTTGAGGAGGTGACGGAGGCCGCAGAAGCAGAGCACGGCCCCCCCGGGGGTCTCCGGAAGGGCTAGGGGGAGTTCCCGCCGCCGCGCCGGTACCGTCGCTTCTCCACACGTGCACCCGGGGCACTCGGCTCCCGCCTGCCGTCGCCGCGCCGCCGCCGCCAGCCAGACCCGCCGCCGCACAGTGACCTTTCACCCCGCCCCCTCTGCGCGCCGGCGCGGCCGAGGCTTCGCGCGCAGCCGCACTACGGGTCTCGCGGCCCTCCCCTCCCCCTCCCGGCCCGCACCTCCATCTTCCTCCCGGGCTGCGCCTCGCGCTCGTCACGCTCCTCCTCCCACCCCTTACGACACGACTGGGGAGGCTTGCTTGGTAGGCCCGGGCGGTCAAATCTGGATTGTTCCAACCCTTCCTGCGCTTCTCTCACATCAGCAAAAAAACCCGATCTTTTCCCCACCCCGTCTTTGCGGGTCGGTTGTCTCCCAGCGTGACCTTCAAACGCTCGTGGCTCCTCCGCAAGGGTATTTAACTCTGATGTTCCCACGGGTAAAGAAGTTCGGTGGGGACGCTCGCGTGTGCTTTAAAAGCGAGCACTGTTAACAATCGGCCGGAGGCCTTGGCCGCCCTCCAGCACACCATAAGTTTCGGCATCACGTGATTAGCTTCACAGCCTGGGGTTTTCCCGGTGGGGGGGCCGAGGGGGCGGGGAGAAAGGGACTCTATCGCCATTTCCGGTCCCTAGCTTGTGGCTTAAACGTCACTTCCTTAGCAATGCACTTTAACCCTTGCCATCCTCGCCTTCGGCCCTACCCTTGACCACACAGCCTTTGTAAAAAGAAAGCCGGGGGCCGGGGGGGGGGGTTGGGGGGGGTTTTCTCCCGGTTAAGTACGAAAGAACTAACGTCCTGGAGGTGTAAAAACCGTGCAAACCCCCGAGATGCACTGCGCCAGGGTGGGGAGGGTGGAGGGGCGGGGCTCTGGGGTCACGTGACTGTCCAGCCAGCCCCGCCCCCTGCTGCTGAAGACTTCCCCTCCCGCGGTGACAGAATCTCTGAGTACCGGGGTCGGAACTGTCCTGACACCTCGCGCCCCTGCCAGGTGAGTGGCGGCCGGTAACTGGCGACTTGCGGGGTGGGGGGGTAGGGACTAGTAGGAGTGGACGGAGGGGAAGAAGGAAAAGGGAATAGCCTTCGCTGCCCGGGGTGCGGGATCCTTCCCGCTGTCACACTGCGTGGGTTCGGAGCTCATTAATCTCTCCAGCTCTCTGGATCCCCCGACCCTTCGCCGTCATCGACCTCCTTGTACCTGGCGAGGTGGAGACGTCCACCTCCCTCGGGTTTGAGAGTGAGTGCGGCCATTATGGTTCCCGATTCGGACCCTTTGGAGCTCCGTGTGGCAGCATTACTTCATCCATTCCTCGGGTGCTGCGGCAGCCACCAGGTCCCATTCCCCAATGCTGGTTGTTTTTTTTGCGGGGGAGGGGGGTTTAGCCAAGGCTTTTAGTCGCGTGAGCAGGAAGATAGGCAAAACCCTGGGAGGCAGAGGCGTCTCTGGTGAGACTGGCTGAGGAGGGAATGTCACCGATAATGGCCCTCACTGCAGAGTCACTGAAAAGCTTCCTCAGCAGTGTGCTTTCTCAGGAATTATAAGGGGTTTATCCGTCGTTTTTGCTAGAAAGGTACTTTGAGTGATCCCATGCTTCGGAAGCATAAATGGTATGGGAAGGTTAAAAGCAGGGTGTATAAGAAAAGACACTGAAGAAATAAGCATTCACTATGCTCAGAACGGGGGTGTTTAGTAATGCGACAGTCTCGATTGAATGAAGAGGCAATGAAAGATGATGTTAATGGATTAGCAAGCCTGTGGCCTAGGCTGTTTTATGGAAAAGTGACTGGATTTTCTTAAAAGGAAAGTAATTCTTGGGAAACTGATTGAGCTAAAAATTAAATTAATTAAATCACTTTTTAAAAAAGACTGTAACCTAAAGGCAAAAAAGATTAAATCTACAAGTTGCTTCCTCTTCTGCCTTTGGCATCTTTTGCATTGTTGTCATACTAAAAATTGTACTTAATTGCCATTTCCAATCATCCCTCGACCAACTTACTGGTCTTATCTGGTAATTATGTCCCTCCTTAGCTCTCTCCCTTTGTAAAATTCCAGGTGACCTCTTCTGATATTTCGGGGTAGTATTTTGTCAAAACACAAAAAGTGTTTAGCCAGGATTTTTGTTCAACCAGTGTACTGCCATTTTATGTGTAACATATTAGCCAATGTTTTGACCCCAAACTGTGTTTAAGGAAAGAATGTTTTTCAGTTTGGGGTTAAACTCTTTTGTTTGTGCTGCAAACTCAGAAAGTCCTTCAGGTTTTGGTTTTTGTTTTAAGTCGAAAGACCTTACAAAATTGCAGCTCTGATTTTTTTTAATTTAGATTCCATGTTTTCTTAATGTGAAAAAATATATTCTCAGTTAAAATTTAGTTTCCTGGTCAATATACATATAATCTGTTAAAAAGCCAGCTGAAAAGTGAGGAATATCGAGTCATCTTTTGAGTGATGAAATGAAGCTGACTTTTGTTAGTTTTGGTGTCTCCAAAATTATCTACAATAAACTGGCCTTATTTTGTTCAGATGAGCTGAAAATTAAAATCCTAAAATGATAGCAATTTAACAAAATTGAAAAGCTGACCTATTTGGTAGTCCTTACCTGAAAACATAGCCTTGATGATCTTACTTTGCCAAGTAATAAAGAAAATGAAATAGTCATTGATAGATTTACAATTTTAGTGTTTTATACATAACCTATACTGGAGAATAATCTGTTGATATGTTTAGGTAGACACTGCCTATTGTACATTGTTTATTAGCCATTACTTTTCTCCAGAATAAGGTTCCTTGGTCCTTAGAGGAGAGAAAAACAAAACAGTGTTGTTTCCTTGGCCAGGTGACATTCCATCAAATAAGAATTCTCTAACTCTGTACAAACCAGTTCTGTCCAGGTGCTCCTAAATAGGCAAGAGAAAACCAGCTACAAAAGCACTGAGTACTAGACAGAGGAAATGGCAATATGAAAAATGTTGAATGAGTCTGCAGTTTTACTTCACAATTTCTCCAGTTTTAGGGAACTTACAAAAGCAATAACTTACACTACTTAAAATGTGAAGATTAGTGCCAATTGATGACTGAATTTCTAGGATATTCTCAGATCCCTTTCCCTCTCTCTCTTTTGTACTCTCTCTCACTGTTCTCTTCCTATCTCTACTTATGCTCCCTCTCACATACACAGGATTTTATGATTTGAAGTTAGTAAGACATTTCTTTTTTCTTCTTCTTTCCAATCTTGGGTCTTGAACTCAGGGCCTGGGCACTGTCCCTTAGCTGCTTTTGCTCAAGGTTAGCACTCTATCACTTGAGCCACAGCACCACTTGTGGCTTTTTCTGTTTTATGTGGTGCTGAGGAATCGAACCCAGGGCTTCATGAATGCTAGGCAAGCACTCTGCCAGTAAGCCACATTCCCAGCCCATTGTAAGACATTTCTGAGACAAGTTTATGACTGTTCCAACATAGGAATCTTAACATTTACTTAGGAAATTGTGCAATAGCACACCATTAAATAGCATATAATATCCTCTTTTGTGTTCTTACTCTGAAATCTTGCTTGTTTTCACTGCCTTTACAGATTATCATCACCACTAAGAACTCATTCTTTTTCCATGGGATCAGGTAGCCACTCAGTCCTGTAGACTACCACAATATACTACTCTCTTTTTACTTCTTGGCACATTTTTTATGGGCTGAACTATAAATCTCCTAAGAGCTCACGGATTACCTCTTCATTGTTGTGTCTTCTTCACAAAAACATTGAATTGCCTGATGCTTGCTTATTGAATCAATGTTGAGCAATCAGACCATGAGATTAAACCACAAGCCACTTTAGTTATATCAAAACATGCTTTCTTCTAAGGTTGTATACTAGGTTTTTAGCTTTTAAATGTAAAAAATTTTAAAACTGTCAGGAATAATAATTTCCCAAATCATAGTTAGTAGAATGTATGTAAACCTCATTTGGATTTTTATTTTATTTTATTTTATTTTTTACCACTCCTGGAGCTTGAACTCTGGGACTGGGCACTGTCCCTGAGCTGCTTTTGCTCCAGGCTAGCACTCTACCACTTGAGCCACAAAGCCATTTCTGGCTTTTTCTGTGTATGTGGTACTGAGGAGTCGAACCTTGCTCATGCATGCTAGACAACCACTCTACCACTAAGCCACATTCCCAGCCCTCATTTGGCTTTTATTGGTGAAGTTACTAATTTATTTCCATAGCATGTAAGTTTACTTACTAATTAAGTGCAGCTGTCATCCCAATATAGAAGGAAAGGGAAGAGAGATGCATTGTACTAAATTAAGAAAGTACACGATACAAGTGGCTCTTCATTCCAGCTATAACACTTGGTCATGTGCATTTTCAAGTGAAGTTAGGCTAGGGGTTGAAACCTAGAAACTTTCCTCTTAGGCTCTGATAAGAGAAATCAGTATGTACCAGTAGGAAGGGAGAAGGGCTAATGAAGAGGGTGAATGAGGATATCATCCACGTAGTTTATTTGCCTATAGGAAAACAGAACAGTGAAACTTGCTGATATTATTTTAAGAAGCAGAAGCTTGGGGCTGGGATGGTGGCTCAGTGGAAGAGTGTTTGCCTTGCATGCATGAGGCTCTGGATTCCAATCTTCAGCACCACATGAGCAGAAAGAGCCGGAAGCGGCACCATGGCTTAAGTGGTAGAGCGGTAGCTAGCCTTAGCTGAAGAGCTGAGGGACAGCACCCAGGCCCAGAGTTCAGGCCCTATGACCAAAAAAAAAAAAAAAAAAGCAGAAGCTCAGGAGAGTGAAGGTAATTGCGGGGGGGGGGGGGGGGGGGGGAGGGGAGTAAGGGATAAGGGATACGTTGTATATATGCCACACAATAAACCCCCTCTTAAAAGCTAATGTAAGCTAGTAAAAATGATTTTTAAAAGAAACCTTCAGCTGGGCACCTGTGGCTCAGGCCTATAATTTTAGCCACTCCAGAGACTGAGTATTAAGGATCATGGTGAACCCTGCCCAGGTTCCAATTAACCATCAAAAAACAAGAAAAGAAAAGAAAAAAGCTGGAAGTGGAGTTGTAGCTCAAGTGTTAGAGCACTAATCTTAAACAAAAAAAGCTTAAGGATGGGGACTGGGAAGGTGGCTTAGTGGTAGAGTGCTTGCCTTGTGTGCATGAGGCCCTCGGTTTGATTCCTCAGCACCACATAAGCAAAAAAAAGCCGGCAGTGGCGCTGTGGCTCCAGTGGTAGAGCGCTAGCCTTGAGCTGAAGAACTGAGGGACAGCGCCCAGGCCCAGAGTTCAGGCCCCATAACCGACAAAAAAAAAAGCTCAAAGATGGTGCCTAGGTCCTCATTTCAAGTCCCAGGACTGGTACACACACACCTTACTTTTAAGGGTAAATTTGAATAACATAACTTATACAATCAATTTTTTAAACTAAATAATGAAAGTAAAGTAAGAGTGCAGATATTACATGAATGAATTTCCCAATAATAGAGACCTGGTTATACATTCTTGCTCTACCTAATTGCTGTATGACATAGGACCACTCTTGAGTGTTCATATTCAGATCTATTCCATAAGTATTGAAAGTAGGTTATGAGTAGCAGGTGCCTGTGGCTCACGCCTGTAATCCTAGTTACTCAGGAGGCTGAGATCTGAGGATCACGATTCAAAGCCAGCCCGGGCAGAAAAGTCTGTGAGACTCTTATCTCCAATAAAACACTAGAAAACCGGAAGTGGCGCTGTGGCTCAAGTGGTAGAGCTCTTGCCTTGAGCTGAAGAGCCCTGAAAACAGTGCCCAAGCTCCACAACCAACAAAAAACAAAACAAAAACCATAGGTTATGAGTTTAATTTATAAACCATCAAATTACTTGAGTTTTTGAGATGATCTTACTGTGTAGCTCAGACTAGCCTCAAACTCATGATTGTAACCGCCTCAGTCTCCTGAGTACTGGGACTGCAGTTGTTTGTCTCTAGCAGTTTTTTAAGTTGAGGTTACATCTCCTCTGACTTTATATTCTGTATTTTTGGTTTGTTTTTGATAGAGTCTTTAACTTGGGTTGGCCTCCACTTTTGATCTTTCTGCCTTAGCTTTGGAGACTGAGATTACAGGTGTGCACCACCATTCTCAGTTTGTATACTGACTTTCTGTAGGAGACTTACCTAAAGGATATGGAAAGATAAAGATAGCTTACAGATTTTACTAATGTCCCTTTTTGAGAAATAGGTTTGGGGTACCGAGGAACATACAGTGCT